CCCCAAAACCCCAAAACCCCAAAACCCCGTGAGATGGAATAGCTTTCAAATGGGAGAATGAAATAAATTAAATAGGAATGAATAGCAGGTTCAATGATTAATATATTTTGATAAAAATCATTATAATATTTAGATCCCTAAATGTAAGAAGAGACACTTGTACTCAAGCAACAATCTTAATTCATACCAGTCCAATTTGGAACAAGATACATTATTGAAGAACTAACTTCGGAAAATTTTGACGAATTTACTGATTTGGTTGCCGAAGAGTATCATTTAAATGACCCTTTGTCAATAGTACTAGGGGCTACTTCGACCGGTTATAGAGAAGCTATGGAATCATTAAAAGGAATCATGCTATCTTAAAATTAAGGATTTATTGCCAGATGCACAAATTCAGGAATGGTTGTGGGCGGATTAACTGGCGAAGATTATTAAGCCGTATACGATTTTAAAAAGGATCAAGCTCTTGAGACGTACTATGGAAGATTAAATGAAGGAAAGCAAATTCTGTATGATAGAGGTGTTTTGAAGAAAGAATGGAAAATATCCTTAATGACGATGGGAATAACTCGCAGTACTCATTATTAATAATATATAATGACGGTCTTAACCTACAATGTAATGCTGAAAGCTAAACATTTGGGTTTTGAATACGCAGTTGCCGAAGTAAATCATATTGGAACTTACAAGATTTTCTCCAAAGACAGTCATAAAATTTTAATCAGTGTAGATTTTCATGACAAATATGAAGAAATTAAAAACAATCTTAGTCAAGAAGAAAAAGATTTTATACAGCAATCTGGGTTATCAGATTATATTTTCTTTATGAAATTAGACTCTGCTATCGTAAAGAGACAGGAGTATCTAAAATCTAAACAATGAGTTTTTTAAGCTTCTAGGTAATATTACATCTTTATCATTAATACAAAAAAAGACATCTTAAATATATAATATGTTTGAGAGCTTGATTTTTTTTAGTTTATTTTTGTTAATACCACTTTTAATTTCTTCTAATATTTATAATACACTATTTCAATGATATGGGGTTTTGGGGTTTTGGGG